CGGGGCTCCCGGCAGAGATCTGATTATTTATCCCAATTATTTAGCACCGTAATGTATTCTAATGTAAAAAACGTGCTAAAAGTTTTTGTTGGGATAATTGTATTTTTAATTTGTTTATTTTGACCCTCTCTGGCGGCCAACCTTCAGGGGTGTTATCCCATTTTTTCACTAAAAGGTTTTTGGTTTATATACCTTCTAATAAAAAAATGGGATGGCAGGGGTGTTATCCCATTTTTTCACTAAAAGGGATACCTTCTAGTAAAAAAATGGGATGGCAGGGGTGTTATCCCATTTTTTCACTAAAAGGTTTTTGGTTTATATACCTTCTAGTAAAAAATGGGATGGCAGGGGTGTTATCCCATTTTTTCGACTATAAGGTTTTTGGATTATGTACCTTTTAGTAAAAAAATGGGATGGCAGGGGTGTTATCCCATTTTTTCACTATAAGGTTTTTGGATTATGTACCTTTTAGTAAAAAAATGGGATGGCAGGGGTGTTATCCCATTTTTTCACTATAAGGTTTTTGGATTATATACCTTTTAGTAAAAAAATGGGATGGCAGGGGTGTTATCCCATTTTTTCACTAAAAGGTTTTTGGTTTATATACCTTCTAGTAAAAAAATGGGATGGCAGGGGTGTTATCCCATTTTTTCACTATAAGGTTTTTGGATTATGTACCTTTTAGTAAAAAAAATGGGATGGCATGCTTTTTAACAAATATCCCATGTCAATGTGACTAGCACGTTTTTAGACTAAAAGAAAATATGGTGCTAAAAATTAGGGATAAATAACCACAGCTCCCGGCAGCAGCTTCTCTAGCCTCTACCAGGCTCCGCGGATCGCTGGAAAATAAGTAGAAATTGGCCGAAATAAATTTTTAAAGGGATAGTATACCAGAGAAGATCCAGCCGGCCATAGAAGCTCCAATTTGCGACCCACTGGTATACTATCCCTTTATTTCGGCCAATTTCTACTATTTTTCCAGCGATCCGCGGAGCCTGGTAGAGGCTACAGCTTCTCGGCTCTGTTCTGCATCCGTTGCAGTTTTTGTAGATCCTGCTCTGGTGCAGTGTCCCAAACAGTGCTTGCATAGTTTACGTTATATATGGTCAAAAAATACTGCTGTACAATGTAATGTCATTTCAAGTTAGTTTGGAAACAGATACATCGCTAAAATGATGAGAAACAAACAAAATCGGATATGATCACTTATGAGTTCTACGAATGAATAAAAGTCTTGCAGTAGAAATTGCAAAATTGCACGTCCTTTGCACTTCTAGGCTTTGTTTATAATCTGGCACCCAAAAACAGAACGCGCGTGGACAAATCTTAAGCTTATCATCTTTATCTAGTCTTTTAACAATGTAAATTTTGGACCCGAACAATATTTTTTTTTACACTTTTTCAACGAACAGAGTCAAATGCCTTTTTGAAATCGACAAAACATAAGTAATGGCGTTTGTTTTCGGAGAGGTATTTGCTTAGCAGGGAATCCATAATAAATACTTGTAAAGTCGTCGTTTGTACCAAATCGATTTGTAAATCCGGCATGATTAGGGGAGGCAAGTTTGTGCTCGTCCAGAAAAGTTGTTAGACGTGTGTTTAGTATTGACATAGATAATTTGCCACAACTTGTAACTGATATCCCCCTACAATTACCGGGGTCATCTTTTATCCCGCCTTATAATACTAGTAGCCTGGGACCCTGGGTACCATCCGGATTTAGATCCGCTACGCTAGAAAAAGCGGAGCAAAATCCGGATTGAACCAAGGCTAGCTGTATAATAGGAAATGTAGATGTTTCCATCATACATGTGAGTCATTATGTCACCAAAAATAACGTTAGTTGTTACATCGTGTATATGAAGGAACAAGTCAGTTAGTAAACCAATATTATTGTTCCGAACTGCTAACGAGTGTTCCAACACGAAAGGAAGCCGTCAACAACATCCAACAGCAAAAGCATGATACAACACAAACGAATGACATCTCACTGGTTTTATGTTAGTAGTAACCTTAGATGTAAGATCGTGCCAGACTTGGTTGTGTTAGTAACGGCAACAATAACGCGAAGGCAACAGGTTGGAATAAAAATAAATGAAGTAGGTCTGATCAATTCCTTTTTCCCTCCAAGATCCAACCGATAGTCTCTTGTGACAGGCCTGGTCTCGTAGCGGTACCTGAAAAAATGTAACGCTGACATGAATTCTACAGCGCACCGTGCCACGGACATAGTGACTTACTCAAGTTACTGTGCAATAATGTGCAATTGTATTGTTAACTGTAGATAGTATAGTAATTTTAATTATGTAAATGTTAATACATTGCAGTGGTTTTAATCTACGTATTTGTAAAATGCCAACGGAATTCAGTCGTGTTTGAAGGAATTCAGCACGCTGCAAAGTTGATTTTAAACAAAGATTTGATTTATTTATCTTCTTCACGTTTCCTGAAACGCAGAGCATGGCGGTATAGCTTGGATTAGTAAATATACGCCATTGTTCCTATCCATGAGCAGTATTTTGGAGATAGAAAGGATTTAAATCAAAATCCCAGGAAAAGGACGTCTCTCTCGAATATACAGAACACCTCTGCCACCGCAAATATGTCACAGTGGAAGCAAGGAGCTACCTCCTCGGTGAAAGTATGCAAAACTCGTCAAAATTTAAAACAAAATACACACAGAGAACTACAGCTCATATGCACACATTATCACGTTTAATCACAATAACATAATGTTAAGTTACCGTATCCGTTTCCAAGTGAATTCTAAAATACTACACAAACTGTCGCGGAGGCACTGCGACCTTTGAAGTGACAGAACACAGTTTTCGCCCTATGGGCTCTATAGTTAAGCACCCCAAGGTGGCTCACTTCGACGCGGTAAAATTATAGTAGGGTGCACTAGAGTAACACGGCCAACTAGTACATCTACAAAATAATAGAAAACAAAAAAAGTTATGTTTTTAACATCGTGACGACCACTTTTATTTGGCCACCTGTGGAGGTCAAAGGAACTGCAGCCGGCTCACCATGGAACACAGTTGCGTAATGCGGCGCATTTATACACGAACAGGGAAATCTTCACAGTATGTATCTTGTACACTGTATCAGATTATACAGTGTACAAGCCGATGCATTACTATACAACACAGCTCAGTTTACTCCTGGTTACATCTCACATAAGTCGCTTGATTCAAGGAGCTTTTATCACAGAATAATGCCCTTGCTTGATTCAATAGTTCTGCCCGCACTACTTTCTATACCCACGCCCATTAATACTGTGTTCTCCGACCTTGACATTAAACAATGCCATGACCTTTGACCTAATGAATATTAATTAGTAGTAGCGTGGGTTATGGCCGGCCGGTGTGTCACGACTTCGGGAGTGAGGAGCGAGTGTTGTTTTATAAAGTCAGTGTTGACCGATAGAGGACACAGATGAAGTAGCCAACGCCACAAGATTTGAAGATCCATATTTCGTCTTCCATGCCCACAGGTATCTTGTTATTTTTTTTTCATTCTCGGTATTAAAAAAAATGCTGAGTTGTTTACAGCATTTAGTATCCAGGCCCTGGCAGTCACGGAGCCTGAGTCACGTAGATATGCTTCCCGATTCTCCCTATCATAGTCCCTCTTACTGAAAGCAAAATCAGTGACTTGTTGGAATGTACAAATTATTATCGTGATTGCTTTGACAGTACTATGTTGTTTATTTCGACGTTCTTAGATTTTGGAACGTTTAATACCTCCATAATACGATATCTTCGAAAGTTCGTTTTCTACCGTAAATACTCATGAATGCATGATATTTACTCAAAAGGGAAAAGGTACCCATACACAAATCTCACAGAAAATGTGCGTTTGTGGCTTCGCAAATTCGTCTTTTTTGCTTGATATATGATAGTTTGGTGTGAAGTTTGCGATTTGACCCAAAATGGTGACGTTCCCGATCGCGCAATGTCGGCCCGAAATGGTGACGTTCCCGATCGCGCGTTGTTGGCCCAAAATGGTGACGCTCCCGTTGCGCGATGTTGGCCCGAAATGGTGACGTTCCCGTCACGCGATGTTGGCCCGAAATGGTGACGTTTCCGTGCTTGCCATTTGGGAGCTGAGTAATGAAAACACATGCGCGCACTGTCGCTCTAGAGTGGTGAATCTCCCGTACGGGAGTCCGTGGCTCCACGTGGAGAGTTTCCCGCGCGGGAACTGTCGCCTC